ACTTCGGTTACACTCGACTTCTTTCGACATCCCAAACACACGGACATGGATAACTTTCATTGTGTGCAATCCCAGTGGCACAGGGAGAGGGTAAGATTTACCCACGATCTGGCAGCACAGACTTCAAGCAACTGCTTTTTCCCCACCACCCACACTTTCTATCGTTCGATAACAAAAATGGCGCACACGATATCGAGATCGAGACTTGTATTGTTCGCATTAAAGTATACAAATCGAATAAAACCTCGTAACTTAATACCCCTTAAATATCAACGATTATGTTTCCACACAAATTGGATTTTGGAGGGTATGCAATTTATATAGAAATATGAAATTGATATTACATTTGAAGAGGTTATGTTCTTATGAGATTTAAATCCTTCTCGAGTAAATGGTTAATAAATCAATGTTTATTAATCAAAAGATTATGCTTGAAGAATTGTATTCCGTTATATGAACGAGTTGTCCTTAAATAATTAAATTAAATCTACATTTTGTTCTAAATAACACAATAATATAATTCCACAATTATGATTATGCAATCTGATCAGAATAAGATGATCATAACTGTCAGGAAAATGTTGAAAAAAAGTAGTTTATTTTCTTTCTGACATTATACATTTAATAATTATTGTTCTACTCGTTTAGCGAAAGGGAAAGAATTATTCATGCCATCGTTATCCCCAACCATGGAAAGTGGGACAATCGTGAAATGGTTAAAGAAAGAAGGTGACAAAATTAATCCCGGAGATGCTATAGCCGATATTCAAACGGATAAAGCAGTGGTTGCTATGGAAGTAGAGGACGAAGTAGTCCTTGCCAAAATTATTGTAAGAACATTTCACTTATTTCCATTATCCTATTTCATGTAGTAATACTTTAAGGTAATATTTTGTTGTTGTCATTAGGTACCAGAAGGGACAAAAGACATCAAAGTAGGAACGTTGATCGCTCTTACAGTAGAAGAAGGTGAGGATTGGAAATCGGTAGAACTACCCGATGCTGTTTCTTCTTCAACACCTACTGCTCCAACACCTTCTGCTCCAACACCTTCTGCTCCTTCCGTAAGCCAATCGGATGAACCACCACCGCCAGGACAGTACGTAAACTGAAATTAACTATTAATTATAATGTGCACGAAGGAAATATACAATTTTTGGAATATATCTCTTTCAGACAAAATGTTTCTATGCCTGCACTGTCTCCAACCATGACAACTGGTACAATTGTTAAATGGTTAAAGAGAGAAGGCGATGAAATACAACCAGGTGATGCAATAGCCGAGATACAAACTGACAAAGCAGTGATGACTTTTGAAATAGAAGACGAGGCTATACTTGCTAAAATTTTGGTAAGGAAAATGTTCTTCTTATTATTTCTTTTGTATAATGTTACTCTACGTTTATTCTACGTACATATTTGATTTTGTCTAATAGGTACCAGAAGGCAGTCAAGTGGAGGTAGGTCAATTAATTGCAGTTACAGTTGAAAAGGGAATGGATTGGACAAAAGCTGTCATTCCACAAACACTTAAGGCTACTACTCCAAGCCCTGCCCCTGCAGTTCCTGCTAAATCATCCAGTGAAAAGGGACAGTGCGTATTGTGATTGAATATATTTCCAAGTATACAAAATAAATCAATTTTCTTGATACATATCAAATGTTTATGTATGTTTATTATTTTTCTAGGGTATACGGATTGGCAGTTAAACGACTGTTGGAGGAATACGGTCTAGATCCTAATTTTATTAAGGGTACTGGTCGTCCTAATCGAATTCTAAAAAGTGACGTTCTATCATACATAGAAACAAATAACATTAAAAAAGTTCAACTTAAAGGTGATACTGGTAAAGATTTGTCAAATCAACACTTGCTGGTGGAATAATAATAATAATATGTTTAAGTATCATCTTTGACTGTTATTTATATTTTATAGTTGCACCAGGAAAAGTTGATAAAGGTAAAAAGGCAGAGCCTATGGTAGTACCGGGTCGTCCATCGGCTTACGAAGATATACCTGTATCTAATATTCGAAGTGTCATAGCTAAACGTCTTGGAGAATCCAAAGTATGTGTCATGCTAGCAATATATTATACTTTGTTTTATTTTTATTAAGTCCATTTTTCATCTATTAAAAAATAAGTCTTTCTTTTCAGTCAATTATACCTCATTCTTATTCGACTATTGACATCAAGATTAACAAACTAATAGAAATACGAAAGCAATTAAAAGAGGATGGCATCAATGTATCTGTCAATGATTTCATTACAAAAGCTGTATCTCACGCGCTCATCGAATGTCCCACAATTAACACCTTGTATACGAATGATAAAGTACGCATTTATAGTATAATTTCATAATTGAGCGCAGACGCCTAATTACGTTATGCAATAATTGACATTATTTGACATTATTTGACATTATTTGTTTTTAGGTCGTGCGTGCTCCAAACATAGATATATCTATAGCAGTTGCATCTCCTATGGGTCTAATAACACCAATTGTATTTGATGCACCGTCCAAAAGTTTATTAGAAATTTCAACAACTATTAGAGAGCTAGCTGGAAAGGCAAAGGCTGGGACTTTAAAGCCACAGGAATTTCAAGGGGGATCCTTTACGTAAGCAATTTAATACGTAGCAATTTAAATTTAATTTACATTTCTGTGTTCTTTTGTAGAATATCCAATTTAGGAATGTTTGGTATTAAAGAATTTTCCGCCATCATAAATCCTCCGCAAACGGCAATCCTTGCTGTTGGAACAGGACGTTCGGAATTGAGTAAATTTCATGAAAAAGACGAAAATAAATTTATGAACAATTAACAATATACATAACGGTAACAAAATGATATATATTTTTGTAGGTGATACTTTGGAAACTGTCACCAAAATGATGGCAACATTGTCGTACGATAGACGTGCCATTGCTGAAAATGATGCAGCTGACTTTTTAGCAGTACTCAGAGCTATGTTAGAAAACCCAACTTTTCTTGCTATTGGAAAAATTCAAGAATTGAGGCATATGAACGATTAAACTTGGTAATAATAATTAGCTATGAATCATTTTTAATTGATACGTATATCTACTTGTTGTTGTTGTATACATATGACTCTGTTTTTCTCAGCAATGTACATGTAGTACATAAGGAGGAACAATGATAAGATTACATAAATCTTTAGTAAAATGCAAGTATAAATAAATGAACGATGATATAAATCGATGCCGTCTCGTAACGTCATGTTTCAAAGTTACTTTGGGAAAATTATATGTAGTCTATCGTTACAATATTTTCGTCTGATGATCATCAAAAGGATTTACGATACAATCATCGAATAAATGTAATGATAGTCTTATTTACTGCCAAGTTTTAAGTACAATGATACTTAAAAATAAAAATTGCATATATGTATATTATCACAAAGACACAAGGTAGCAATATTAATTTTTATCAATTCATGACATTTTATTGTTTTATTCTTTGACAAATCTGTTCTTAGAATCTCTTAAAAAAATTGACAAACATAATGATCGTTGATGCGTTTACTTTGTGCAATTTTGTACAGTTTTGTACATTAATAATCCACGTATCGTGTAATAAATTGCTTTTCATGTATACTTACACGAGTGCGTGATATCACACTTCCGTTGACAAGATCGTCATCGGAAATCGTTAAAGTAGAGAAAATAATGTTAACACATTAAGATAATAAGAATACCCATGAGGATAGGTTTTTATCGGTATACCAAGTGTTTCTTCATCTTTTTGTGTATATATATATATATATGTATATGTATGTATATAAGTTTTAATTTATAATATATTCACCAAATACACAATTGACATAATGTCAACGTAAATAAGTCTCTCATTTTATTTGTACAGTTTAAATAATTGTTAAGAATAAAACGTTCTTCGAAGGAATTAGAGGATAGGATATAAAATGTTGTAATAATAATAATAATAATCATCATTTAAAGTGAACAATTTTATAATATTTATTTAATTGATATACATAAACGAGCATTGATAAAATTCCATAATGACGCATATATTCGTCGTACATTAAAGGCACAAACTCGGGAGTTCACTATTGTTTTCTTTTTTTTAGTTAATTAAATATGACGACATGAAATAATTGGAAATATGAAATAAAAGAGGTAAACAACCAAAATAAACCATTTAGTTATTTATATCAGGCAGCATTCACGTAAATCTTATAAAAAGAGATTAATGAATAATTGTATGGAATTAAATTCAATAGTTTACTTATCACAGTCGTGATTTTGTTTGTTATTGAAGTTTAGTGCTTAAAATTCTATCTAATCTATAGTTAGAACAATCATTCGTATTACTTTATTATAAAATTGAAACACCCTTATAAATATTGTCGATATGCGTTTACTTATATGTACAGGATAATATTACGTTATAAAACTTAGAGATAGAATATATAATATATTTGGTTGAGCGATAATATTACTCGCTGTAAAATATAAAAATATTTCTCCCCAAAATGTATATTATCGTGGAATCTGAAAAAATTCTATAAAACTATTCATATGCGTGTGTATAACTTTCCAAAAATACATTCTATGTTAAGCAGTGTGTTGCATTGTACTATTTAATACTCGCAATTGGTTAATAATGCATTCATAAATTGCAATGTTAAGCCAAACATTTGTCAATTATTTACAACAGTATGATTTAACGTTATTTATTTTAACACGGGAGAAGATTAAAAATAATTGCACTTTGTGAAGAAAGTACTGATGGTAAAATAGGCACCCACTATTTAAGCGTTTGCACGTGTTTGTGTTTTCTTTTCACTACTGAAAGTATTCTCAATATAAGTACAATAATTGTTTTGCATAGAATACAAAGATAAAAGTTACACAAATCATTTAGGTAGTATAGCATTACATATTTTATATGTACATATACATATGTGCGTATACGTGAATACCTAAAATGCAATAAAAATGCAATTATAAAATCGACGACGACGACGACGACCACAGCGTATATGTATGTGTACATATTTATATTGCACATGAAGTGAACTTTATAGTTTTGTTTTCGCCAATATATTTAAAACCTTATAGAACACATAAAATAACTTGTAAAAAAAAATCCAAATAGTGGATCTTACTGAAATCCATAATACTGTTGATCGTTTAGTCATTTTTGAGAAAGACATACATTGATTGATAAGAAAGAAAGATATTATATATATATATATATATATATATAACAGATAGTGCCTATGAAATGAATGAATGAAAATACTTACTCAAAAGCACCGTTGTGCTTAATTGAAGGATTATTATATAAATACTACTAAATACTACTAAAATGAATTAATTGTAGACTTTATGAAGAATTCTTTGCGCAGCCTGTATCAATGGCGTTAATGTAGTCAATTCTGCACAATTGTCTAAAAAGGGATGAGAAAGCAACTCATCCGCGGTTGCTCTTTCATCGACTTCAACAGCAAGGCACCTTTCCAAAAAGTTTTGAAACGTAGGACTAAGCGATTCCCATCTTGGTATGGAAGGTTTACCAATGGCAGCAATTAAATATAATGCTCTTAGGGCGGTTTCTTTCATATAAGGTGGCTCACCCTCAATCATCTCAATGGCCATTATACCGAGCGACCAAATGTCTACTTTTTTTCCATATTGTTTTCTCGTCACTACTTCCGGTGCCATCCAATAAGGAGAACCCACCATAGTTTGTCTCTTTTCATCGCCATTAATATTAGCGCAAAAACCAAAATCAGTTACTTTGACAGTTCCATTCATACCCAATAGCACGTTGTCCGATTTAATATCTCGATGAATGATACCCCTTTTGTGAAGGAAACTTATCGCTTTCAAAACCTCTCTAGAGACGGCAGCAATTTGTGCCTCCTTCATAACAGTCTCGGTGACAACATCGGTAAGTGGTCCTCCTTCCAATAATTCCATGACCACCCACAAATGATAATCTAAAAGATATGCGTCCAAGAAATTAACTAAATTTGGATGTTGAAATTCTTTGAGAACTTTGATTTCAGTCAATATGAGTTCCTTTTTTGGTTGCTTAGACAAGTCGATATCCTTAATGGCTACTTTTTGATTATTTTCAAGATCAGTAGCTACAAATACGGTGCCAGATGCGCCAGCACCAACTTCCTTACTTCTATCAAATTTAAGAGTAGGATCACCTCTTTGACAAATAGATCTCAGTTCATCGAATACTTCTTGATCACTCAATTTGACACCACTATAGTCTGTTTTTCTACGCAGTACAGGACTTTCTTCGGTTTTGATTTTGTAATCGTCTTCCTCCTCCTCCTCCTCCTCCTCCTCAATCTCTTTACCACCAATTTCCTCGTAAAGTAAACTACTACTACTATTATCGTCCTCGACGTTGTATACTTTAAGATCTTCAAGAATCTCAGTCAAAGTCTTTTCAAATCTATCACTCCTATCTATGAAAGTTCTTGGTGCTGGTTTTGGCACTTTATTGACTTTAGGTGGAAGTTCTGGTAAAGTTGGTGGTAGTACCTGGCTATCAGTTGAACTAGCTGAATTGGAACTATCCGAGTCACATGATTGACTCTGATACTTCTTAGTCAATATATTATCAATCTCTTCCGATTCTTCTTCTATAAGATTCTCCGTGACAAGTGCTTTAAATACTTTCTCCTGTGGTTTACGTTTAATTGAGTAATTGTAAAATTTGATAGCTTGCAATGCTGCCGCAGGATGTTCATCCTGTTCGGACTTAGATATTTGCGTGTTAAGAAAACGTATCCAGGAAATAGGTAAACCCTCCAACTGACCTGTTTCTGCATTTTTACTAACGTGAAATTCATGCGAGACATTGGTAGGCAAGCCTATTTCCGCCACTGTTTCAACATTGACACTTTTCTTTTTAGAAAAAAACTTGGTTATGTTTAAGCTCATTTTCGCGCGAAATCACGCGCTATATTTCCACCTTTTCCTCCTTATTTGATTTTTGATTTACTTTTCACTATTATTTAGTCCTTTGTTACACGAAATTATTAATTACTCCTTAATTCTTTCAATACGAATTATCATTGTATCTTTCAGACGTAACGTCACTCCTTCAACCGATAACTCTGTCTCTCTCCCACTCCTTCTTCACT